GAGAGAGAGAGAGAGAGAGAGAGAGAGAGAGAGAGAGAGTGAGAGTTGCATCGATATCTGTGTCATACAGCATCATAGTAGCCGCGTCATTACAATATGCTACTTAAAAGTGAATAGCTAGAGATCGCTAACGAACTTCTGACCCCGGTGGTCAGCATTCCCTTGTTAATATTCATGCTTCATAATCAGGTTTCATGTTCAGGCTTCGTATTCATGTTTTATATTCATGCTTCATATCCTTGCTTCATATTCTGGTTTTATATTCGTACTTTATATTGATGCTAGATATTTATGCTTCATATTCAGGTTTAATATTCGTGCTTTATATTCATGCTTCATATTCATGCTTCATATTTAGGTTTCATATTCGTGTTTTATATTCATGCTTCATATTCATGCTTTGTATCACTGCTTCTTATTCGTGCTTTATATTCATGCTTCATATTCTAGCTTCATATTCAGGCTTCATATTCGTGCTTTATGTTCATGCTTCATATTCATGCTTCGTATCCCTGCTTCATATCATGCTTCATATTCATGCTCCATATTCTAGCTTCATCTTCAGGTTTTATATTTAGGTTTTATATTTAGGTTTTATATTCAGGCTTCATATTTATGTTTTATATTCACGCTTCATATTTAGGTTTTATATTCACGCTTCATATTTAGGTTTTATATTTAGGTTTTATATTCAGGTTTCATATTTAGGTTTTATATTAGGTTTTATATTTAGGTTTTATATTTAGGTTTTATATTCAGGTTTCATATTTAGGTTTTATATTTAGGTTTTATATTTAGGTTTTATATTCACGCTTCATATTTAGGTTTTATATTCACGCTTCATATTTATGTTTTATATTCACGCTTCATATTTATGTTTTATATTCACGCTTCATATTTATGTTTTATATTCACGCTTCATATTTATGTTTTATATTCACGCTTCATATTTAGGTTTTATATTCACGCTTCATATTAGGGATTCACATTCGGGCTTTAATTTAATCAGTTCATCAGGTTTCATATTCGCACCTAACTATATTGCAGCAATACGGTTGAAAAAGGTTTAAACGAAACTGTTTAATCCTATTAAAAAAACGTACGCACTCGAAGATAAAACATCGGTTAGAAACTACCTAGAGGTATAAACCGTCAACGTGGCTACGAACAAGTGACTGGAGAAGGGAGGGACATACGGGTAGGGGACACGGGAAGACGACAGCAATGACTATGACACCGAATCGATCCGTATCATGACTATCTCACGAGTCGGTAAAAAAATTACGGGTCGCTGCAAATGCGATGGAGAAACTCGGCGATGGGGGTGGGGCGTTATTGTTGAACGGTGGGATGTATGGCTTGTAATCTAGGACCTGATAATTCGCGCCTGTGTGCACAGGCGAGGGAGTTAACTACTTATACACGCTCTTTCTGCAAACGTATTTATTTCAGATGCTCGCAGCATGATGGAATCGACGCGGGTTACATGTTTGCTCGTCTTATTTTTCGTGTTATTCTAACCCACACTGTGTGTGTGTGTGCGTGTGTGTGTGTGTGTGTGTGTGTGTGTGTGTGTGTGTGTGTGTGTGTGTGTGTGTGTGT